GACTTCTGAGCGAAATGTGGGACTGCGTCAGGGTTTCGTGTGATGGGCGATCAAGGAGTGAGGATAATTTCCTTACGGAGACGTGTCGAGTGTAGGTGTATAGCACAGACAGGCTCATTAGGGGAATGATTTGATCATCCAGGCAGCAGATGGCAGCTTGGACCATGGCGAGCAGTGGACGTGGTGAGATGCGATTGGATTTGACCTATGTTTAGAAGAGGGAGTCAGCGAAATTTCCCAAACAGATTGAATGTGGGGTGTGAGAGAAAGAGGATTTATGAATACCTCCAAAGTTTTTGCCCGCACCATGCCTGGGCAGGACCTAAACCCTTGAATGCTGCCGTGTCCATTGGTCAGACCCCTGCTTTCAGCCCCTGCCTCCACTTCTCACTGTCTCATGCCCAAATCAGTCCTGTCCTAGGCAGGCCCAGAGCCAGCTCACAGTCTTCCTCAGGAGGAGTAGGTCTGGTATTAGGGCGTCAGTGTCCATGCCTCCCCTACAAAGCGCACAACAGTCAGCCAGAGGTGAGGCAGGCAGGAGGCAGTATCACAGGAGGACACCGGGTGGGGACAGTGGCAGTGATGAGGGAGAATCAGTCCAGCACGTGTAGTCCTGGCACACTGGTCCTGTCTTTACCCACCTTCCGCGATTCCCCCAGGATTCCCCTTTGGCAAGTAAAGAGAAAAATTCAGACACTCACGAGGCAGGTTCAAGAGCGCGCAGAGGTGGATAAACTTCATAATGATGTTAACAAGCTTTTTCAAAGGATGAGGTTCGTTCAGCTCGGGGTCTCTGGAAAGGATGGAGAGGAGAGAGTAAAGAGCTCAGTAAGATGAGGCAAGAAAAGGTTCTGGGGTTGGAAAAAATTATCATCTGGATTCTTTCAGTGGCAGAATTCAGTTCCGGAAGAGGTGTCCACCAGTCAGAGGAGAAGGTGGCACCAAGCGTCAGAGGGACAAGAACAGAGATCAGGTGACTTGGCCCCTGACGCAGGAGAGAATGGCTTAGTGTGTTGCTCTCCCTCTTCAGAGAAGCAAGGACTTAATCTGAGAGACGTCGACGTTCATGGTGTTTCTACAGCCTCCTCCTCTCTGGTCCCCGCTTTGTCAAACTCTGAAATCATGCCCCTCTCCGAACTGCATGCAGGAGACCGGCCCCACCCGTCTATGTGATGCTGGCCCCGTTTGTGTGCCAGTGACGTTCATCTCCAGCCCTCTTCTGTTGACCTTGACCCCTCTGCCTGACCCTAAACTCCTCCTCGAGGTTTATTAGCCCCCTCGTGTCACTGCTGATCTCTTTATTTATTCAGCCAGGCAGCCCGCCCGCGGTCTATATTCTGTGTCTGACTTGTGCCGGGCTCCGTGCCCACTGTCGAGGGCGCCCGAATGTGCAGACACTGTTCCCAGCGTCAGCGGTCTTACAGCTGAGTGGAATGATGAGGACACAAACGGCAATTGCAAACCCGAGTATTCAGAGCCAAGCATCCTGCCGTCCCACCGTCTGGGTGGGGGCATTTGCCGAGCTCATATCTGTTCAGTCATTTGTGTCCAACATATATAAAGGAGATCTTTAAAATCAACACTCAAGAAAGCAAACAACGCAATTAAAAAGCGGGCCAAAGATCTGAACAGACACCTCGCCAAATGTCTGCTCAGGCAGCCGTAACAAAGCGCCACAGACCGGGGGTGGGAGTGAGGGGGTTCAACAGCAGGAGACATTGATTTTCTCCCAGTTCTGGAGACCAGAAGTCCATGATCAAGGTGCCAGAAAAGGCAGTGCCTGGCGAGAGCGCTCTTCCTGGTGTGTGGACAGCAGCCTTCTCGCTGAGTCCTCCAACAGCCTTTCCTCTCTGCATATAATCACAGAGGAAAGGAGCCAGCTCTCTGGCTCTTTTAGGAGGACACGAACCCGTGAGATCGGTGACCTCATGACCTCGTTTCACCTTGACTACTTCCTCGGAGCCCCCCACCCCGTTTCCCAATGTGACCACACTGGTGGCAAATAGCATATGAAACGATTCTCAGCGTGTCATTAGGGAATTACAAATTAAAACAGTGATGAGATACTATTACACACCTAGCAGAATGGCTAAAATCCAAAACGCCGAAAACGCCAAATGTCGGGAGGATATGTAAGAACAAGAACTCTCGTTTTTGCTCGTGGGCGTGCACAGTGGTGCAGCCACTTGGGGAGAGTTTGGTGGTTTCTTACAAAACTAAACAGTCTTACCGTGTGATCTAGCAGCTGCGCAACTAGGTATTACCCAAACTTCTATCCACGAAATATTTGCTCATGAATGTTTTGTTGTTGTTGTTGTTGTAGTTTTTTTTAACGCCTGCCTGGTCTTCCTAGGTGGTCTCCCATCCAAGTGCTAACCAGGCCCGACCCTGCTTAGCTTCTGAGATCAGACGGGATCGGACACGTTCAGGGTGGCATGGCCGTAGACTCATGAATGTTTATAGTGGCTTTATTCATACTTGCCAAATCTTGGAAGCCACCAAAATGTCCTTAAATAAGTGAATGGATAAAACAAAGTGTGGTACATTCATACGATGAAATATTTATTCAGTGATTTTTTTTTAAAAAAAAATGAACTATAAAGTGTTGGAACACAAATGCCTATTACTAAGCGATAGAAGCTAGTCTGAAAGTAACATGTCTTGCATGATTCCAATTTATGACATTTTGGAAAAGGCAAACTGTAGAGGTGGTAAAACGATCGGTGGTTGCTGGATTCGGGGAGAGGGGGAGAGGGATGCATGGGTGGGGCGCAGGGTAATTTTAGGGGGGTGGAGTTATTTTGTGTGATACTCTTAATCGTAGATACATGACGTTGTATGTTTGTCAAAACCCACAGGACTGTATACTATACCGAGCGAACCCTACCGCAAACTATGGACTTTAGTTAATAATGTACCTATATTGGTTCATCAGCTGTAATAAATACATCAGTTGTAACACCAAAGCAAGAGGTTAATAAAAATATTGGTGGAATTTGGGTGGTAGGTATACAAGTAAACACTGTAAAATTCTTTCAGCTTTGTCGTGTGTTTAAATTTTTTCATAAATTTGGGAGAAAAATTTTTTTTAATTGAGGCGTATGACTTAGAATTAAAGACACTTCTTCAGTCTGTTGTGTGTAAGGGAGGAGTGACCAGAAGTTATGCTGTATCTTGGTCTTGGAGAAGGGGAAGAGCTTGTCTGGCATAAAAAGAAGAGAAAAAAAAAAATTCAAAAAGAGGGAAAGTTTTCTGTAAAAGCATGAATATGTGAAATAACATAGTGCCTTGGCAGAACTACAACCACATAGTGTACGGAGCGTGTTAAGAGCTAGGTGGAGAGATAAACAGGAATTAAATCATGAAAAACCTTATTATATAAGATTTTATAGTGTAGGAGGTAAGGAGCCAATAAATTCATTTTTGACAAAATTCTATGGAATGTTGTGGAAGACAGAGCCGAAAGCCTTTGTTTATATCCTGCATAATCCCCAGTTGCCTCCCTCAAGTGTGGGTGGAACCTATGACTTGCTTCTAACAGAATATGGCAGAAGTTATGGGATGTCATCTCCATGATTACGTTAGTATAAACATTAACACAATACATATGTGTATACATCTCACTGGCATGCACGAGAGATTCTTCCTACTGGCTTGAAGCCAGCCGCTATGTTGAGAAAGCCCATTTGGCAAAGCACTGTGTATGGGTGGCCTCTCTGTACCAAAGACAATGTCACGGACTCAAGGACAGCTTTCACCCAACAGCCATCAAAGACCAAGGGTCCTGTGTCATGACCACAAGGAAGTGGATTCTGCCAACAACCTGAACAAGCAAATTCTTCCCCTGAAGCCTTGCTAGACCCCGAGGAAAGGACCCAGCTAAGCTATGCCTGGACTCAACTTATAGAAACCGTGAGATAATAAATGTTATTTCATGCTATTCAAGTTGTGCTAATGTCTTTTGTTTTTTGTTGTTTGTTTTGTTTTGTTTTTGCAGCAGTAAAAAGCGAATACAGATGTATGCGTGCGCTGGCACTTTATTAGCTATCGATGATGTAGTGGTAAGGGAGATGAGAATCATGCCCTCGTGGCCGATAAAGACTAATAGGGGAGACAGGTGTAGTAAGACTTGCCACCATGAATGTCACCATGTGGGAAGTAAAGGGAGGTAGAGAAACACCTCCGTGTAAGGGTCAAAAGAAGAGGAATTGGGAAGGCGATGTTCGAGGCTTGAAGGATGAGGGGAGGTTAACCAAATGAAGACGTGGTGGGAGAAATCTGCGGAACGCTGAACCAGGACGCAGAAGAGAGCTGAGCATATACAAGAGTATGAAGAGAGACGTAGAAGGATCCTACAGAACAGACCTTTCAGGAATTGTCAGGTGAGAACTGCCTGCAAAGAAGACAGGAGGAACCAGCGAGCAGGTCAAGGGAGCTGTCCTTGGGCTCTGTAATTTAGACGGGAGGCTTTATCTTAAGTGGTGACAGGAAGAAGCCCGTCCATAGAGGAAGTTGAAAAGTACGGAAAAGCGAGATACTCAATGAAGCAAGTCCGTGAGGAGGTCGGAGGAGATAATAAGGCCTTACTTCTAGGAAGGATGGAAAGGAGCGAATGAGAAAACAAGCGTTTGCAGGTGGGCGGTGGGAAGTCGAGTGACGTTACCTTCAGAGGGTTTCGCATCCCTCTGCTCCCAAGCCAGAGGTCATGCGCTGAAGGCGGCCCTGACAGTCGGAGGACAGAGGAGGATGTCCGACCTGGCCGTTACGCTGAATTACACAGACAGAGGACTTGGAAAATACAGATCGTCAGTAAGCACTGAAGACCCGATTTCACAGTTACAAAAGGTGATCAGAGCAGGGAGCATCGGGCGGTGATTCAGAAGCGGGAAGCAGGGAGAAACTGGAGATGAGGCTGCGACAGGAAACAGGCAAACGGAGGGGCTCGTGGTTCGGGTGGGCCAAAGATTACAAGAAAAAGAAGCATAGTTGAATGAAACGGCCTAGTGTCCAAATTTGAGATGGTTTTTGTGTGTGCGTGAGGAGAAAGCTGTGGATCTTAGTCATCACCTAGATCTATTTTTGCTTTTTGCTTTGGTAGGGAAGGCTCAGGGTATATCAATGTCCAAGAACCAACCCGCCTCTGCAATCTCTGCAGACACACCGGGTGACCGCCTTCCCCATGGGATGGAACCCCAAACCCCTTCACTCTTTGCAGAGTCTCTTGCTCCTGTGGCCCTATCATCTCCCTCTCCCCATCTCACTGACCTTCCCTATCCCTCTGCCTTTTTAACAGATGACCCCCCTGTCATAGTGTTCCTCCCCTGCGTGTAACTCGTATATCACTCTGGACTGCAACTTCTGCATTGCTCGAAAACCTCTCAATTCTGTATTTTTAGGTATCTTGGTCAATGGGTCTGAGATGCTGTGCCTCTGCCCACCGTACGCTAGGTGAGGGAAGGGCCCCGTGCCCATCAGAGCTTTTCCCAGTGGCACGGAGCCCTACCAAAGCCCGCAGCTGCTAGCCATAAATACAGAACTCCTTGGCTATTGCCCAGACATCATCTGAGATCCAGATCTTGGTCTCCAGCTGTCTGCTAGAAATGACCATCCATCTCCTTCAAGGACATCAAATATAACATGCCCCGTCTCTCCTAATTCACGACCAGGCTTCTGATCCTTTACGTGTGAAAACATTGGTTCTGTTCGTATTGTCTCCAAGAGCCACCATCTTCTATCCAGTTGGCCAAGTGAGAAGCATGGATGTTAACCCAGACACCTTTCTATTTTTCTACTCATAGTCAGTCCATCTGGATCGTACAGATGCTGCTTCTCCCAGTTCAGAAATTTGATGACGTTTCTCTACCATGAATGTATTAATGTCACCTCCTCTGATTTCTACAAGACAAAAATCTAAATTCCTTTACCAAACAGGTCAGGCCCTTTGCTATCTGATACTCGCTCGCCTACAAATGATTTTTTTTATATTCTCCTTTCCCCTCTGTAGACATTTATTGTCCGCCCTCCAGTATTACTTATTTAAAGACATTTTCTAGGACGTGCCACATTTTTTAGGCTTTTTTTGACTTTCATTTAACTATAGCCTCAGTTTTATAATATTCTCCCCTAATTTGTCTGCCTCTTTGGTGACACCGCCGCCGACTCCGCCTGCCGCCAGAATGCGTTTTTGGTATGTCCTCACAGAGCGCTCATCTCCATTATAACAGTTGTCACTAGATGTCGGAATCGGTCATTGATAAGCGAATCATAGTCACTCATGTATCCCTAGCATGTGCAGAGCCTACCAGAGAGCTGACGATCCCACACTTTTTGAATAAACAGATGGGGGATTGTTGCTACATTTCTCATTGTTCTCACAGTTTATGTGATGAAGTGGCCAGGGGTCACAGCACAGTTCTTATTGTCATTTTTTTTACTGGATGTCTTTTATTTGGATTCTGATCAAGAACAAGGAGGATTGTGAGGACCGCACTGAGGAGTCGGGGACGGAGGGGCCTCAGTAGGCATTTATGGTCTTCATGATCCATTTCGCATAGGGATGAACTTCTGTGAAGAAGCCTTCACTTCCCAGGGTGACACTTCCTTTGGACCAGGACAAGATTCCATGCACCCTCCCACTGCAGATGGCTGGAGCAGCCGAAACCTCCTGCCAGGGGGGAGGAAGCAAGAAGGTCAATGTTGCTTGGTCCCCGTGGAACAAGGATAAGTCTCAAGAAGTGGCACATTGCAGGAGCAGAGGCATTTGAGGACTGCAGTCATTTTTCATGAGAGACGACAACCCTCTCTTCACATCTACGTAGATTTCTCCTCTCTTGGGTCCAGCTTGACCCCACCAGAGAGCAGGCAGGTGGAGAAAGGATAAATGGTTGTACCCAGAATCTCTCCCACCCTAAAAAAAGGGGAAGGGGAATTACAAACCCAGAGACTGAGGGAGGAAAGGGGAGGGACCGTCAGGCCGTTGGGGATTTCCCACAATCCCCTCTCCTCCTCATGGACCCTTTGCTCTCTTCCTGTCTGGGGAAAGGAAAGATACCTTCATTTCAAATGTGGTGCTTAGAGGTTGTCCCACACACATGATGTTGACTGTCACTTCTCGTTCCAGTATATTCTTGCACTTGAGGAAGGGAAGAGAATGTTGGTTTGTCCAAGTCAGGATGTCGGGGTCACTAACTGTGGGAAAGAGCAGAGAAACGAAGTCCAGTTTCATTCTTTTCATCCAACACACGCTGGCCATCAGCCCCTCATACATGCATTAGTCCCCAAGGGCGCTCATCGCCGATAGGGAGCCGTCCACCTCCTTAGGGCTCCGTGTCCAGTGTGTCTGTGTCTGAGCAGGGGCTTCAGAGTGTTCGGTCCTGACGTCAGACATCAATCAGATCTGTAGTTCTCTCTCTACTCTGCATAATTTGGAGGACTTTGAAAACTCATGAGAAAATGATCAATGACCATGGGAAGAGACACACACAGCCTTTGTCCCCAAGAAGTCCTTATTGTTGGTACCTACGTCATCTTCTTTACATTTACTCGTCAAAGGATAAAACTATTTTTAGTGGGTCTAAAACTGCTCTTTAATGAGATAGGTTATTTAGAAGTGGATTATTTATAAGTGTGTGTATCTCTGTGTATATATTTTCCCCCGAAGAAGTCATATTGCTTATCTCTGTCATAGCGATTGTAACTATACTGTTACCGTCAACCTCAGGATTTAAGGATTCTAACCAAGGTGTTATATAATCTTTATTTCTCCTAGAGAATAGCAAAGAAGAAACAAAAAACTAACCAGAGATTGCTCAAGCTAAGCCCAGTGTTACTTAGAGAGCAGGATTGTTGCATTTCAGATGTCTGTCAAAGGGCGGTTCCATCACCCTTTGACAGTACCTAAAGAGAGCGTAAAGGTTATTAGCAGCAGCCACGTGAAGTAAAGGCCCACGGGGACCAACGAATTTCTTTATGAAGAAAGCAGTTGTCTTCATAAAACACGCCTAGTAGGGTGAGACCCTGCCCCTCGGAGACCAGATCATCTCTGCTCAGACTGATTAGAGCTCAGAGGGCGGAGGAGTGTGTGCCCCGCAACATGGGTTTATGGCAGTTTTCCCAGAGGCGTGGCAGGGCAGGGACACCAGGAGCCTGTCATAATGACCAACTGCCCCGTGAGCCCCTGGTCTCCACCCCTCAGTGGGAACTCGTGGTGGAGCCGCGGGTCTAAGAGTAGCACTCTGCATGGAAACAGCTCTGGTGGCGGGAGAGGTGGCTCCCTCAGCCTCCCTCTTATGTCCCTGGGCTCTGATCTGGAATGTTCTAGAGCTGTAACAATAACCGCCTGCTCCATCCGTTGACGTCAGATTGGCCAGCCCGTATCAGTCTCCTGAAATGTTATCTTTTGGCCTCTAATGTCAGTCACGTTAGGTCCTGGAAGTAATCGCTCTGGGGTCAAGAACAGTCCGTCAGAGCAGCCGTGTCCTTCAGGTGTACCCCTGCCCATCTCCCGCAGCTCCAAAACCTGAGGACGAAGAACAGAGTCGAGCACTTACGGTTTTTATAGTCGTTCCACCTCCAGGTGGGGATAAAGCAGGAATCATTCAGCGCCAGGTCTTCGAAAGCTATGGCGACGGTCCCCACGCGGCTGTTGAGCGTCGCGGCCTTGGAGAGTTTTATCATCATCAGGTCATTTTCCAGGGTGCGCGCGTCGAATTCAGGGTAGGGCACGGTCAGTGAGTAATTCCGTATCTGCTCGCTCTTGTGCTGGATGCTGGGGCGATAAACTCCCAGCCGGATTTGAAAGCTTTAGGAGGAAGAGCAGAGGGCAGGGTCACAGAATGTCGGAGCTGCAGGAAATATCGGCGGTAACTTTCCCCAGTACCTGTCTTACCTTTATCTCTCAGACCTGCGAACCGAAGGGACCTGCCTTGGTCTGCGAAAGAGTCACGACGACAGTTTACAGGGCTGTGGTATTGGGGTTATTTACTTGGCTGCCGCCGCCTCTTCCTGTGGGCGTCATGTCTTCAGAGAGGCCTGACGTGACCACCCTGACTAGAGCAGGTCTCGCGCTTCATTCCTGTGTGTTACAGCCTGCCACTCTTTTCATGGGTTTGTTTGTTTGTTTGTTTTTGGCCATTTATTTGTTTTGGTTTACTTTCTCTACCATGGTATCTGCTACCTAGAACATACACTGTACAGTCTAGTTGTTGTGATGATGATGATGATGATGATGGTGATGATGATGATGATGATGATGATGGTGGTGGTGATGATGATGATGGTGGTGATGATGATGGTGGTGATGATGGTGGTGATGATGATGATGGTGGTGATGATGATGATGGTGATGATGATGATGGTGGTGATGATGATGATGGTGATGCTGGTGATGGTGGTGATAATGATGGTGATGACAATGATTTGGATAATCTGAATGAGCAGATGATAGAGATGGCACCACAGCCTTGATGGTGGTGATGATGATGGTGGTGATGATGATGATGCTGATGATGGTGATGGTGGTGATAATGATTTGGATAATCTGAATGAGCAGATAATAGAGATGGCACCACAGCCTGTTCCTCCAGAGCTTTTCGCCTGTACTATACCTGTATGTTGTATGAACCTTTGTTTCTAGATATTCTTAGGCCCTTCCCAGCTCCACTGAGGCCCACGTCACTATGTTTACCATGTGCCTCCCACGATGATCTTAGATTCACAAGATTCTTAGAGTCTGTTAGGACTTCAATTTATTAGGACTTCATTTTCCTTATATTTTGTGGACAAATTCAAACCTACTCATGTCCGTGGTCAGAGTCCAGTCATGCAAGAGATGCAAGAGCCATTTCCTACTAAAAACGGTTCATGCGTTAGGTCCAGTTGAGAAAAGAATGTAAAAAGAGTTTTCAACTCCAGTTCTTGGAGGGGGTGAACCGTCTTCATGTTTTTTTGGTTTTTTTTTTGTTTGTTTTCGGCCCTTTGTTTGCTTTAGTTTACTTTCTCTACCGGAATGTGAGCTCCATGAGGGGAAACTAACTCATGCCCATCTCGTTCCCTTGCTGTGTTTTTAGTCTGTTAAGCACCCCCTGGCATATAGTAAATGTTCAGCAAACATGCTGAATGCAGGAATGTTATTTACTCTCCTTGGGAAAGTCTTCGGACACCTACCTATTCATCACCTCTTGAACCAACCAAGTATGAATGATTTTCCCCATTTCTCCCTAGGTCTTCTCATTCCCTTTGAATGCCATTAGAACTTGCTCGAATGCCTCACCAGACCTGCTCTTGTTTAAATAGATTCCTTCCTGCCCCGCAAGAGCAAAGGGTTACTTACGGTAAGGGGCAGTGAGCCGCCGTCAGAACCCACTCAGGGTGAATGAGGGTCCCCACACAGGGCTCGGGGCTGGACTGCAGATACACCATGTAGGGAACGTTAAGATCATCTGGTGAGTTCGAATGATCGCTTTGAGAATCTGCAGCCAGAACAACTCCTAAAAGAATCGATGGGGTCATAGGTGGGGAGAGAGACGAGGAGGGTGAGCCATGAGCTTGGCTGGGGTAGTTCTTCCCAGCTTAAGGTTTGCAGAGATAATATCAAGGTCTTTAGATTGCTTTCAATAGATATATTTTTTAGATCGGGGGAGAATCATGCATGTCACCCGAGCTATACACATTGAGGCAACCGACACTTGTCTTTGCCAGGCACGGAAGTAAAAAATTTACTACTCCCTGACTTTGGAGGTGAAAGGAATGGAAAAGCTCAGGGAAGGGAAAGCTCAGGCTTCCAGAGCCCCTGCCCCAGCCCCGCTTCCTGTCCTGTGCTCGCCCATCCAAGTCGTCCTTCCCAGAGAAAGGGAAGCTGGGCTTTTCCTGTGGCTGTCCAGGAAACGTGACAGTCTAGGAAATCACACACTCAGGAGTCCCAGAGGAGCATAGGGCACTTGTGAGGGACACATCCCGACATGCTCCCAGGCCCCAGGGCGCTGGGGGAGACTGCTGACGGGAGGAGCTGAGCGCGAAGGATGGCTCCTTTTGTCTCCTTCAGCAGTTAATGGAAGGAAGTGCCCCCTGTCTCTTGGGTTGTGCCTCCCTTTCCAGCCTCTCCCTGCACCACCCCGTCTCTCCCTGGGCTGCGGCGAGGGCCCAGGCTCTCACCAGCTGCGCTCATGACAGAGAAGATGAGACAGCACTTCATGGCAGCCTGCGAGCTCGCCAGGGGCAGACCGGTTGAATCAGACCGGCTACAACCCCAATCTTTAGTCCAGACGTCCTTGGCAGGAACAGCTGGGGGAGAAGCGATCTTCAAACGAGTCCTTTTTCAAAACCGGCTTCTATAAGGAAAGCGGGAAGCTGCCTCCGGGGTGGGTGGACGAGAGGAAGGGGCCAGCGAAGTCAAGCCCCTGATGCCCGTTCTCTGCTCCCCAAAATCTCAGCAGTCGTGATGTGCCTGCTGACACTCCCCGCCCGCACTCTGTGACATAGCCTTTCTTTGTTGTCCCCTCCTCCCTTTGTGACTGCCAACCTCTTCCCCCGCCCTCCGTTGCCATCTCCCTTTCCCCAGAGAGTCCCTCGGCCACTGTCAGAGACTCAGCAAACAGTGAGGAGGGAGCCGTGGCCCTCAGGGAAGTTAGTGGCAAAGTCAGGACTTGGAGCTGAGTCTTCAGATTCCTTCAGACAGGTTGACCTTCACCTGAGCCCTGTGCTCCCCGAAAACAGCAGTGGGCAAAAAAGAAAAATCCCCTGGGAATTTAGTAGTCTGGAAAGTGGCTTACCTCAAAGAACGACCCATCCCCACACGAGTTAGAAGACACTGTTTCTTGTGGCTCCCATAAGACCTCAGATGACATCCTTGTTTACCTGTGACAAGGCCAAACACAAACCTTTCCCCCTTGACCGACTTGCCGTTGGGGCCAGACGCAGACCCCCCAACTCCCCATTCTTTGTCTCATGAACGATTAGCTGAGCTTAGAACTGTCCTGCACCCAATCCTCTCCGCCGCCCGAAAGCAGCTAAACGTAGAGATAAACAGCTAACTGAGAAGTTCTCTGACTGCAAACCAATCCCAACCCTAACTCTCCCTGCCTGTCACTCGTCTGTTTTCACCCTATAAACAATCTTAAGGTGCAGCCACCCCGCTGAGACACTGATTTTCGAGCTCTTCTTCCTGCAGCCGTCTGAAAAGTCAGTCCCCTTCCCTGTTCAGTTGTCTTGACGTGAAAACTTTCTGACCGCCCCTCCCCGGAGATGTGGAATACTAAATAACGGGCTCGACCAGGGCCGCTGGTCTATAGTTTCCCCGTAGTATCCCCCTGGCTTTGGTGTCATGGTAGTGCTGGCTTTGCAGAATGAGTCTGGACGTGTTCCCTCCTCTTCAATTTTTTGGAAGCATTGGAGAAGGACTGGGATTAATTCTTCTCGTGTTTGGTAGAATTTGCCAGTGAAGCCACCTGGTCTCGGGGTTTTCCGCGTTGGGAGTTGTTTGGTTACCGTCCAGTCTCCTGCCTCCTTATTAGTCTGTTCAGATTTTCTATTTGTAAAATGCGCAGAACAGTGACTCCTAGCGGCACATAGTAAGTGCCGTTTAAAAGCTTCTTGAATAAAAGAGCTGTGATCTTAGGCTCCCCATATCTTCCAGGCTTTCTGGGGATGACGTTTCATCTCAATGCCAAGATATTGCTGCCACGTCCTGAAACCTTTGTAGCGTTTTCAGGTTTATTAACATAGCGGTAAAGAGCGTGGACTCTGGAGTCAGTCTCTGGCCTCAGGATTTACTAGCTGCCTTATCCTGAGAAAAGCATTTAACCTCTTTAAGCCTCAGTTTTCTAAGCTGTAAAATGGGAGGAATATCAGTACCGACCCCACAGGACAGAGACGAGGATTGCATATCACAGGGTAGTTCAAAGCACCGCAAGCGTGGTGTACGGCACACAGAGGATGCTGAATCCATGCTTGTCGCTAGTACATCTCTGCATCTCCACAAAGGTGAGGGGTGAGTCCCGAGGAAGAAGGAGCAGACCTCCGAGAGCCCCTGGTCCGCAGAGCCGTGCACTCGGGCTCCAGCGCAGCCTTGGGGCGTGGCCCGGGGACTCTGCGTGAGCCACACCGGTGGCCCCCCGGCCCCCAGTCCTGTGCAGCTTCCCCTCCACCAAGGAGCTCAGTTCTGGGGTGTGCCAGCGTGAAGAAAATGACTCCATCCCAGCTAGGCCTGCAGGTGCAGAGACTCCTTTATTTTACAAAGCTACGGAAGGTCGTAACCATGAAGTTGGCAGTTGAGAGCCATTTTCTCAGAGTTTTCAGGAGCAAGCGATAAGTCAGTGTATCTGTCCTGTAATTAGACATAGCAAGCAAAAAAACAAAATATATTTTTTTGTCTCTGTGCATTGTTCCTAATCTCAGATTGTTACCTCTTTATGTTTCCTTAATTTTTTGCAAAGATACCGTGTCTTCCCAAATCTTAGGCGTGATATAGGTATTCATTGTGATAAATATATTTTAGTGTGAGATAGCTCTTCCAACTCGACAGAGCGGCTTTTTATTTTAAATCAGAGTATGTTTTCATAGGTCTTTTGATGTTTTTCTCTAATTGTACCTTAGAAGCAGATCTCTGCTGGCCAGTTTATCCATCCCTTGCTTTTCCCGTGGCATTTGCAATCATCAGCATTATATTCTGTAGTCTCTATTTGTTTTCTGTCTCTCCAGTTAGCATATATATGCCATGAAGACAGGGTTTTGACTATTTTCTTCCCTGTGGGGTCTTTCCTGCCTAAAACAGGTCAGGCACGTAATAGGCCTTTGATAAGTGCTTGTTGAGTAAGGGTTGGACAGATGAGCAGTGACTGTCTCCACCGCGGGACATATCAGGTTTACTTAATCAATCCTCTATGAATGGGCAATGGAGTCGTTTCTGGATTTTCAGGGTTATGTAGATAATGCGCTAATAACCTTCCTTGATTAGTTTCCTGCCTAAAACAGGTCAGGCACGTAATAGGCCTTTGATAAGTGCTTGTTGAGTAAGGGTTGGACAGATGAGCAGTGACTGTCTCCACCGCGGGACATATCAGGTTTACTTAATCAATCCTCTATGAATGGGCAATGGAGTCGTTTCTGGATTTTCAGGGTTATGTAGATAATGCGCTAATAACCTTCCTTGACTAATCACTAATGGTGATGGTGACCGCCTCCTTCACATCCGCACTGGCTCTTGATAACTACCCTTATCCTAATCGTCATTTAGTTAACCCAACACATTCCCAGTAGGCCAGGTTTATTGCAGAGTGAAAAGTCCACCCCTCACTTGGACGGTATGCCATGTGACTTAATAGTAAATCAATCAGCATCATCCCATCAGTGATTGGCTCAAGGACGTGCAAGTGACCAAATTCAGTTAAAAAGACACCGTGCGATGTCTGCTGGGGGCTTCTGAGAAAGACGCTTCCCAGACCTTCTGGAAGCAACTCTGCTTATCTCTCTCCCTGGATGCAGACAAGGGAGCATATCGCTCCGAGAGCGTGTCAATCACAAGGCTTTATCCTTGGGATAAAGCTGAGCAATGCAGAGGGCAGAGACAGGAAGGAATAAAGTGAATCTTTAATGACATTTTTGAATTATTGAATCACACCGTTCTTGAAGGTCTCCCTGCTTCTAAGCATCTATCAGTGTATTTTTTAAGACTGTATAAGTCGAATATTCTTTTCTGTGCAACCGAATGACCTCTAAATGATACATTCACCTCTATATGTATATTTTGTTTTTATATGCATCGCTTAACTGGATAGATTTATAAAACTTAAGTTTCTAGGTCCAAGAGCATACGGGCTTTACAGTTTAACAGAAATTCACAAATCGTGAATGGTTTTTAAACAGAATAAGAGGTAGAAAGTGACAAGACGTGCTGAAAAGGGACAGTGGATGGCATCAAGAAAAATCACTTGTTTGCCCTCTTTGTACTTTTTCTTGGGCCCGCCATGCTCTCTCATCCGTATCCCTAACGTACCTTGTCAGTTCTCCGAATCTTCCCTCTGCCTGAGGCGCTTAGGTCAGCAGGTGCGTGTTGGGGGTGGTGATGGGGTAGGGTAGAAAAACATTACAGAGGGAACAGGAGAACCTTCAAACTCGTTTGTTTCTGGGGAGAAGCCTGAGAGATGTTTAGTTGAGGTAGATAGATATAAGGATGCTTATTTTAGCAAAGAGGAGTTATTTATAAAACTAATTTAGGGCGTATGCAAACATGAAAGCAACTCACTGAGAACTAAGGAAATAAGACAGGACCTGTTCATTATGACCAGTAGTTAAGAGCCCTGAACCCAAAGCTGAGGAATTTGGGCTTCTTCCGAGTGGCAGTGGTAAGGAGATTTTAGGGGCTCAGGGCTGCTCCCTACAAACGTGCTAACCAGAGTTGCAAAGGGATAGCACATTGGTAATGGGGATCGGAGTTTTCCCGGCAGGTGTCGCCCCCGACGATCTTGTCATGGTCATCAGCGGGAAAAGCAACTGACAGAGAAAAGTTAGAAACTGTCTGCTAAACGAATCCGTCCTGGAATTTCCACTCGCCGCCAAGTTTTTGCAGGTTAACCAGAAAAGCTCAGATAATGTTTTCTTGTCAATCAGGAGATGATGATAGTAATGTAATTTTTTTCAAAACCTCATTTTTTCCTATACCTTTAACACATATCCTACTTATACCATAAGGATCTGATTTTTAATTTATACTCTAAATTTGATAAATATATTGTTTTTTTTTACATGTAATCCCTCCTCCCCACCCCCCGACACACAGGTCACCGACTCTACATAATAAATGCCCTGAACCACCACCACCTAATGACATGAAGAATACTTTTTACATAAAACTCTGCTCAGCAGCCATGAAAGCAGGTGTTCAGTAAAGCTTTGCAGTAACCAGGGCTGTGGTTATTCGTGGTGGCTGGCATAGGATATCCCCAGGAGGTACGAGGAAGGAAGCTTTTAGAAGCTACCTGAGACTGTATTGGCCTAGAAGGAAATGGGAGTTTTGAACTTTGGTTCCCCCAATTTCTCTCTTCGTGGACCTCACCTAAAATTTTCACCAAATAATTTCATAGAACGTTCTAAGGTTTCCATCTACAACCTTTCCCCTTATCCCAATTTTCTTTCTAACATCTCTCAATTTATTCAGCGTGGTGGAGTCTGGCCCACTGATTTACTGAGATTTTGCAC